GAATTTCATTCTCCTGTTTGAGTGACAACCCTGATGAAACTACGCGAATCACACAAAGCATGTGAACCAAAATGCCATGACTTAGCTATGTCAGACATCTTTTTATGATTCAAAATTTCAAATGTTATAATAAAAATTTCCTCTAAAGTCAACCAGGTATCCAGGATCCAGACCTCAAACTTTGTCGAGAACTACATTCTTAACTCTCAATTTTTCTACAAGTCCCACACAAATCTATCAGAAACACAGTTTTTCTTCCAAATCTTCATATCAGGCCCACACTTCTCACATCTCAAGTTCAGCTTCAAAATTCCTGTATCCAATAAAAACTGAAAAAATACACTTCTGTCAGCATGAAGACAATTTTGAATAAATGTTTCATATATATCTTCTCATTCACTCCAACAACATATCTTCTCGAACTAAATCTAGCTTGAATACACTCTAAAACATGTGGCTGATATATCTCCACAACTTTCCTTCATGGAACTATACGCCATTATTCAACACGTAACCAAACATCCACCATGACGAAATACAACCACATTCCTCATAAAACTTTCCACGTAAAAGGGACCATGCGAATAAAATCTCAACTAAACTATCCAACATAAAATATTGCCACATTTGGCGACCACATGTATCCCAGGCCGTATATGACATTTGTACCATTATACAGGGTGATTCTAAATTGTTTATACAAATTAAGAGGGGGGATAGTACTCATCCAGATGAACAATAATTACCATAGAACATAGGGTCGCATTCCACTCTAAGAGGCAGAAAAGAGGAATATTAGAATTCCAACCTGAACTTAAACAGTGTTGGAAGAGCAACTGAACGAGACCAAAAATTGCACAATCAGTTTAGTAAAAAACTCAGAGAGTGCACAAAACGAATAAAACCGAAAACTTTCCGTTCGAGTGTTAATTTGAGCTTAGACTTTGATGGCAAACACTCAAATGCACATCTTTGGTTGGCAAGGCCTCAACCTCGCAAACGATTGCAATAAGTTAATTATCTAATAAAGGGCTGAATATTATCAACTAACTGCAACTTCTGCTGTATGCTGAGATTAGCATGAAAAGTTCATGCTGTGTTCTGGCTGTCAGAATTTCATATCCCATAGAATGGCGCTTCAAGTAAAATGACCGTATCACAGTAAGTCCAGGAGGACAAGACAGAAGATGGTGAAGGGGGGAACTGCTATCTTGATACTTGATATCAAGGTAGGAGTTCCTCCCCAATAGATAATTTCTCCCTAATAATTTAGATAATTAACCTGTTGCAATCATTTGCAAGGTTGAGGCTTTGCCAACAGAGATGTGCATTTGAGTGTTTGCCATCAAAGTCTGAGCTCGAATTAGCACTTAAAAGCCAAGTTTTCGGTTTTATCCATTTTGTGCATTTTCTGTGAGTTATTCATTAAAGTGATTGTGCAACTTTTGGTCTCATTCATTCGCTCTCCCAACACTGTTTAACTTCAGATTGAAATTCTAATAATTCTCTTTTCTGCCTCTTAGAGTGGAATGCAACCCTATGTTCTATGGTAATTATTGCTCATCTGGATGAGTACTATCATCCCTCTTAATTTGTAAAAACAATTTAGAATTACCCTGTATTGTGTGTCAACATATCATCATCTCTTTTCTTTGTAAAGAAAAGAGACATGTATTTGCATTTCTAGACTATTACATGTTTACTAAATATTTGTGGCTATGGTCCTACTGTGCACCTCTTATCTTTATTAGTGTTTAATGAACAAAGCTTTCCGGCTTAACCTGTTTCCTTTGATTCATTCAGAACCCTTTATGAATGGATTGGGGTAAGGGGAGCAATCATTTATTTGTTATAACTTTTCTTAGAATTTCAGAAAAACCTGTCTTTGCCACAGATTCTAGAGAGCTACATCAGTTATGTCTACAGTGCAGACAAGTTAGTGTTCTCTACTTCTCTCTTTCTCAGTGTGTGGTGTGAATGTGTAAAAATTCAGGATGTCTACATGTAGAAAGTACAAAACTCTAACTTTGGAAACAAAGGTAGAAATTTTAAAGAAAGTAGAGAATGGCAAATATGAAACAAAATTAGCAACTGACTATAGAATTAAAAAAAGCCTTGTCAGTTTATTTGAAAAACAAAGAATCAGCTTGAGATTCATGGGAAAATTCTAAATTTGCTACAGAAAAGAAATGCATCTCAAGAAGACTTAGAAAAAACTCTGCTGCTATGGTTCCAGGATGCAAGATCTCGAAATTTTTTGATAAATGGATCCCTGTTGCAGACAAAGGATGATGAATTGGCAAGTCGAATGGGTATTGAAGATTTTAAATGCAGTGAGGAATGGCTTTCTCGATTTAAATCAAGGCACAATATTCCTTATCAAATTGTATGTAGGCAAAGCGTTGATGTTAACGAAGACATATGCACTAATTTCAGTAGGAAACTGCCAGAGCTTTTCTCTTTACCTGCTGAAAGATATTTTTAATGCAGATGAAACTGCATTTTTTATAAGCTTTTGCTAAACAAGACGTATTTTAAAGAGGATGCTTGTGTAGAAATTAAAAGCAGTAAGCAGAGGATCACAGCTTTTGTTTGTGCCAGTATAGATGTGAGTGAAAAGTTTAAATTATTAGTGATTGGAAAATCCAAGAATCCACTGTGTTTTAAATGAATTCCAACACTGCCAATTGATTATGTGTCCAATACAAAAGTATTGAGACATTTTCAGTAATTGGTTAAAAGGAATAGATAAACAGTTTTTAAGAGAAAAGTGTAGCATCCTCTTATTTGTGGATAACACAACCTGCTATTATAAACCTTACAGAGCTGAGTTCCATACAAGTTGAATATTTACTGCCAAACACAACTGTGAAGCTACAATCAATGGGTCAAGGAATCAACCAAATGTTAATATATATATATATATATATATATATATATATATATATATAATATAATATATATAATATATATGATAAGAAACTTTTACAAATCTTTTTTTTATATATATTGTGTTGAAAACAGTATTGCTCTGCTGAGAGCTATAAATGATCTGTATGCCACGTAGGATGCTGTTAAAAAAAGCACAATTAGTAATTGCTTTTATCATGCTAAATTCTTGCACTCCGAAGAGAACAATCATATTGCAGTATATGACGATACTGATTCAGTTTTTCCTGATTTAAAAAATTTAAATGTGATAATGTTACTTTTTCTAATTATGTAAGAGTAGATGAAGACATGGAAGTCTGTGGGAAACTGAGCGATGATGACATAATAAAAACTAACCAAGAAGATGAAAAAGAAGGACCTTCTCTCTAATTAAACATATTAAGAAGAGAATTAAGATTCAGAAGAGAATGCAGAGACTGTTAAGCATCGTAGTGATCAATCCATAATGGACTGTATAAAAACTCTGAGAGCATTTATTCAGATTGAACCTTCCTCTGAAAATGAATTGAAATGTTTACTTCAAATTGAGAAGCTGGTTTAAAAATGTAGGCATAATAAATAAAACCAAACATCCATTTTACAGTTTTTCTCAAAAGTGTGACTCATATTTTTAATAAAAGTTTACTTTCTACTGCATAGCTTTTACTTCATGATTTTTATGATTAAGATATGTCTTTATTGCTTTTTAATATGTTTAATTTTAGACAGCATACTATGATATATTTGCTAGGGTTATATTACATATTAGTAGATCCTTTTTCTTCATTGATGTAAATTTTAGTTATATTTTTTCTTAACATCGGATAATTCGAACCCTTTTCTGAGAACCGTTGAGTTCTAATTAACGAGCATACACTGTATATAAACATCATTACAAGCAAATAGGTAAATGTTACTTGCATAGCCGAGTTCAGGTTTCATTAAAAAAGAAAAGGGTTAGTGTAGATTTAAGGGTGCCCCTTGGGTTATCTTTAAGTTTTTGTTTCATTTATTGGCAAATTGCTTCATTTATTGCCAAGTTGTCATTTCATTTATGGTAACCTGAGTAGTTGAATGCTATGGAAACCCTAATATGACGTAATTGGTTGCGTGCTTGCAGTCAATTTGAATGATGGGAAAGATTTTTAAAGTCTTGTTTGTGTGTTGGATGTTGGAAGTACATTGGTTATTTTGTGGTTTACACGGTAAAATGGTTGAATGTGGTAGATTAATTTGAAGTTTCTCTACGATTTAGAATGAAAGGGAAAAAAAGCATTAGTTGACTGGTGTGTAAATGAAGGTTTACTTAGTAGCCATTATTAAGTGTCCTGTTTATACAAAGGGAAATGTGTATGGTCGAACATCGGAAAATATCAGCACTGCGGAGAATATTCTTTTCTCTTATTTTTGTGAATTTATGTGTCGATGCCAGTATCCAGATTCTAGTTCTGATAATTTTAGGAAGTTTTTGAATGCTGTTAAGAAATTTTGTTTGACTGAAGACACAGAAATTTCTAAAATAAGGTAAGTGAATATTTCCTTTGTGTAGTGCTAAGATGAATTTCCTTTTTTAAATTCTTTCATAGTTTGATTTAAAATGTAGTTTATTGAGATCATATATTTTTTGTTGGCTGGTCCTTTGATTTTTTAAGTGAATATAGATCGATGTGTACATGGACAAAGTCAAAAGAGTATGCAATGCCTTGTTTGTGCAATTCTGTGATATTTTTTTGAAGTGAAAATAGGTTGATGTGTACATGGATACCGCATCGCTGCTACACAAAGCCAAAATAAGATGCCAAAGAATTGCACAAACTTGGTGTCCATGTACCGCCAATATTCATAAATATTCAGGAAGTTTTAAAATGTATTTTGGAAACTTACTGATAGCATGGATAGTTTAAGAATAAGGCCAACCTTAAGTTTAGTAATGTGTGTCTCCTTCTGACATATTTCTGTCTATTGTTTGTGATTTCAAATTTAAAGAATTCTCTTGATTTCTCTACTTAAAAAGATTATTTTTCATTTACTATTAGTTTAAAAATTTTTAAAACATCATTAATTTGCAGGATTTAGCTGGAATCGCTTTCTGGTTGGATCATCTTATTATGTTTCTGGACAATGAAAATACTGAGCACATTTCAAGAAGGAGGAGTAATGCAGAATATATCTTCAATGGGCAGGCAAATGAGACTGAAAAAATATTTGCTTTCATATTGTCTGGTTTGGAAAGAGGTAATTTAACTGATTTATATATATATATATATATATATATAATTTTAGAATATTTGATAATTGTGAAACTGCCATTAAAATTTTAGTTATATTTTTTACTCTTAGTAAAAAGGACAGGCATTCATGCTCTGAAATTTCCATACTTTTTTTTTCACTATTCAAACATTTCAAATCTTTACCCCCCCCCCCCCCCCCGAAAAAAAGGCCACATGTTTTTAACTCAAAATTTTGCCAAAAAGAAGTTTTATTGATGTCCAGTAGAATATTTTAGATTTTTTTCATTCAAGTGGTAGTTTGTGTGAGAAACCATGTCCAAAGAAACTGGAATTCTTAGCCGCCGTGCATGAAGGTTGTTTCTAGTTTTGCACTATATTCATGATGTCAACTAGTGATAATGCAATGGAAGTGGATTCAATGCTAGTGGGCAATTCTTGCTCGCTGCTTAACACTGTCAATGCTAGTGAACTATGCGACAGTGACTTAGTGATTTTCTACTGACTCTGATGAAAATATTATGAATAAATTGCCTTGTGATGTTTTTACTCATAGACGTAGTGTCTTTTCTGTTCACTCTAAAGCAGTGGTTCTTAACTGGGAGGGATGCGGGAATGTATTTTTGGGGGTGCGGGAGAAGCCCCTACCTAACTATAAAAATTATTAAATATCATTTATTAAATTTCTTATAATAAAATATTTGAAATATGCAATAGTGTCCCCAATATTGAAGCTCATAAAAATTGGTAGCCCCTAGCTCACTTATCGGCAAAAGACACAGGAAAAAGTCGGTGCCGATGGGCGTATACACTACGCTACGAAAAGGCATGAAACGCTACTAACAAACGCGAACAGGCAGCTAGGTGACGGAGAAAAGAAAAAATCTTTGTGGGAAGACAAGTGTAACCTTCGAGAAACCTCGATAGCCACGAAGCCACGATACAACCCTAAACAGTTTATTATTTATTACCCTAAATTGTTTATTATTGCCTAAACAGTTTTAGATTCGGAAGCACATAAAAAAATCCAACAGATTCCATTATCGAATGATATTATATGATCGTGAATACAAGATCACAGTGAAGATATTTTAATGCAAGTAATTGAAGACACAAAAATCAGTTCACTAAAATAGGCATGCAACTGGATGAGTAAACTGATGTTGATAATTGTAGCCAACTTTAGGTATTTGTCAGGTATGTGAAGGAAAAAGAGGTGATAGAAGAATTTCTATTTTGTGAGCCACTGGAGGTGAATACGTGAGGAATTGACGTTTTCAATCGCATCAAAGATTTTTTTTTTACTAAATATCAATTACCAATGAATGTGATTGGCTCAATATGCTCTGATGGAGCCTCAGCAATGTTAGGCCGAAAATTCAGGATTTTTTTTCACACATGAAAAGAGAATTACCGGAAGTTATAATAACACATTGCATGTTGCATTGTCATGCGCTTGCGTCGAAAGCATTGCCAGAAAGTTTAAAACAACATCTAACTACAGCAGTAAATGTAGTAAAATGCATCCGAGGGCGAGAGCTTGATCATTGCATTTTTCGTGCATTTTGCGAAGAAATCGGTCCTAATCATACCGTGCTCCTATATCACACCCAAATACGATGGTTATCTAAGGGTTCGAATGTTTAACAGAGTTTTTGAATTGCGTGAGGAAATTATTCAATTACTGACTAGTCAAATCTGTTATTTAGTAAAAGATTTTGAGAGTAATGATGCAATGCTGAGGCTGGTCTACTTAGCAGACATATTTAGCCATTTAAATGAATTGAATCTATCAATGCAAGGATTTGGTATAAATATTAATAATATCTAGTGAAAAATTATCTTCATTTATCGCAAAATTTAGAAATTTGGATACGTCGAGTAGAAAAGGGGAATTTTGCAAACTTTCCTTGCTTGATTCTGTTATTGCGAAAAATGAAAAGAATACAATTATACCCGACATTGTAATACATTTGAGACGATTGAGTGAATCATTCAATGGATATTTTTCTACCAGAAATATTACCAAAAACTCAGAGATGGATACTGGATCCATTTCTATTTGACTTAAATTTGATGGATGATAGTCTGAAAAATGATCAACTTATTGAAATGCGAGCAACTGGACATGTTCAAATGGAATTCGAACAATAAGAATTACAACAATTCTGGTATTCACACTTACAACGTTATCCAGAGTTGGCGAACGGAGCACTGCAGTTACTCTTACGCTTTGCTACCACCTACTTGTGCGAAATGGGATATTCATCGCTTTTGCATATAAAAACTAAAGCGAGAAATCACTTAAATGCAAGTGATGACTTATGCGCATGTCTTTCAAAAAAGGAACCTCGCTTCGCCAGTATAATAATGAATAAACAACAACAGACTAGTCATTAATAAAAATAATATTGTTTTGTATATATATAAAATGTACAATGTTTTTCAATAAACAATAAGTTTCGCAAAAAAATGTATTTTTCTAGACTAAAAAAATTAAAACACATTTTTCAGTGGGGTGCGGGAGATATATTTTCAGATTCAATGGGGTGCGACTAGCTAGAAATGTTAAGAAACACTGCTCTAAAGTGATTAATTCTATGTTTTCTGGAATTAAGTCACAAACTATAGTACTGAATGATAAATTTGGTGTTTTATCAGAAGCATATTACAATCGTAAACGTTCAAAGCCCTGCTCCAAGCAGATATCTCTTCAGATTATATAGTGCCCCAGATTGAAGAATTGAACCCTAACATTTTTAAGGGTTGGGTACAATCTTTTGATGACCAGTTCTTTATTAAATCAGCCCACCAGCGGCCGAGTGGTAAAGTTGCTGAACACTGGTAGTTCGATCCAAGGTTCAAAATCTCCCGAACGGGCTGGGTGGATGGCTGTTTTCTGTATGTGTAGTGTGTATACAAGCAGGGTTGTGGTGTCGGTAGGGAAAATGACTGACTCCGATTTCCTCATATATATATAAACATATACATACATATATAAAGCTGACGCGTCGGTAAATTGGAACAGAGAACATGCTGGCTGCATGGGCGTTTTCGTGTCTAACGCGCATACGAGCCAGTTTTCCTTAGAAAGTCCTCCACAAAGGCATCCCTCCCTTTAGGAAGATAGCCCTCTTGTGCTTTGCCATAACTGAATAATCCAATCCAATCCTCATGTGCAACTTTTATACCAGTCAATTTTCTTCAGAAAGTCCTCCACGAAGGCCCTCAGGCAGATAGCCGTAATAACATAAACCAAATGAATTCTTCATTATAAGATGTGCGATTCTTTTTCCCCCGCATCTGTCGCATACAGTTTCAATTGTCTGTTTCGGCGAAATGCGATATGGAGTTAGCTTGATTCGAAATTCATTAAAAAATATTTCCCCTGATGTTCCATAATGAAATTCGAATTGGGCTAATGTGGCATTTACCGCTTCTTAGTTTTTATATTTTTGCTCAAATAATTTGTTAATACTTTTACTAATGTTTCAAATATACCTTAATTAGATTAGCATATTGCTTACTTTTAGTGTTGATTTTACTTGTAAATAATCAAATGTCATATTTTTTCTCTTATAACACATTTCATTGCTATTTATTTTGCTTATGTTAAAGTTTTCACGGAACCACAGTATTTCAGCGGCTTTTTAGTGTATGAACTAGGATTTTTCCTTTAACCTTTTTCTAAACTTTGCAGCACAACGCACAAAGTTTTTGACCACATAGGTCTTTTATTGTTTGTTCTCTTTACTTTAAATTATATATATAATGAAAACATATACACATGGGTTACAGCTTATTTTTTTTTATATAAAAGAAGTAATAGATGCCACAGGGAAAAAAAAATTATGGCATAGCAAATTATTTATATTAATTAGCATTTATTATGAAAGGGAAAAACTGACATTAGTTATCTCTAAGAAACAGTATAGCTTCGGCAAGACCTTCTTTACCGGAGGGCCATAGATCCGATTTGATAAACTTCAGAGCTGGGAAGAGTCTTTTCACACTAACTTGAGTAGGAGGAAAAGCTATTACTGTTAGGGCTACTTCTTTTAACATTTCAGGATAGATTTTTTGTAAGTTCTAAAAGAGGTGTCTTGCTGGCACAATCATATTTCTCTATTTCTTCAAAGGCCATGTAGAAATCTTGTTTGTATTTTTTCATTTTTATATCTAAATGTTTCTGGTTCTTTATTTTTCATTCGCTTTGCCTTAGCCTTTTCAATATTATCCAAAAGTATTTCTCAACATCTAATTCATCTTTGGAAGAGGATTATCGAGACTCAATTGCAATGTCTGTAGTTTGACTGTCCTGATTCGAATTCTTCAATTGTTCTGAGAATAATTTCATTCTTAATGAAAGTTCATAAATGGCTTTCTTTGCCTTTTTAATTTGTTCCTCATCCAAAAAAATTCGGTGTTTCAGATCTACATATATTGAACCCAGCAAGATCTCATTGTCTAGCAAACTAGTTTCTCTTTTCTTAATTGAAGAAATGATTCCTTCGGCAATAAACCCTCCATTTCAGAAAGAACAAACGTCACATTCTTCCATTCTAGCCTCCTGTCAGTTCTTCAGATTGCAGCTTTCTTGTGGCTATATAGGGTGTAGAAAGAAGAGTTTCTAATTCTGCAAGATCATTCCACAGTCTTTCTGTTAGTGAAGCATTAGGGTTATCTACATCTTCTAAAAACGTTCTTAATTCTAACAACCTCATTATCATCAAATATGCACTTTCTTATTGCGTTACTTGATCAATAATTGCTTTTTTTCCTGCTCGCTTCCTAAGAATGGCATCAATTTTGGGAGTTCTTGCTGCTAGTGCTGCTTACCTAAATTTACCAGTGAGATTTGTAACTAAATGAGTCAATTTAATCACTAATGGCAAATATCACATCCATCCTCCTCCGTTATATTTATTTAGTAATACGTCCATAAAATAGAAAATAACTATTTATTAACGTATATAGTTCATAAATAAAAATAATAACTCAGCTTGTCATTAATTTTTTTCAAATCATTTAAATTTTATTTCAAATTTAAACTGTCCAACAAAAATTGGAGTCGAAGTTGACCTGTTTTTAGCGACTCCAGCTCCGACTCCTTTTTCCCCCAAATCTGCCCGACTCTGATTCTGTCTCCATGACTCCGACTCCACAGCCCTGTAACATAAGTGATGATCCTAATAATAATTGTAGTTGAGGTAGTAATAATGTTTGTGATGGTGTTGATGCCGATATTGATGTACATAATACTACCTATTAGACTTACATGCAGCAGCAGTTACTTAACAATAGTCTTAATGGTAATTTCATACCCTCATTATGGTTAACCTTAGGAAATATCAATTTTCTGAGTTTTTAAAATTTCTTGCCAGTTACCTGATTCTAAATAGCCTGCAAAGCTCAGCAGAGTTTTTGACACTCCTCCTGTAAATGGGCCAACTCGATAGAGTTGTGAGTGCATTTTAACTGAGCAATAAAATTGAACATTGCCTTTTTATTTTCAGACTTGAAATCACATTTAATTTTGAAAGAATAAATCTTGGTTCCTTCTAAAATCTTTTTATTTAAAATCATTATTATTTTGTATTGGCCAAGTTGTATTTCTGGGCATTTGACCTCCTGCAGATTCTATTTATCTTAAGAGACTACTGTAAGTTTAACCAATCATATCTTCTTCTTTTAATCTCCAGTTGTTCTAGTGACGTAACTTTCTCTTGATGGCTCTCCTACGATAGCATTTGTCTGACTCATTGTCACCTGACCTTGTCTCACGAACAGTCAATGTTGTAGTCATTACTATCGTGTATGTAAAAGAAACCCCCATAATGTAAAATGATATGGATACAAATGATAGAAAGTCTCAATAGAAACATCTACACTGGGAGAGGAAAACTGAACAGGAAATTTGTTTGCAAACCACTTTCATCTGAGTCGTCCAATAGAAGCATTGGTTAAAAAAGGTATGAGATTTTTTTTTCAAGTTTTATGTGCCTGGATTATGAAAAGTAATCAGTAATATCTCTTGCTAGCATTAGAGGCCATATGTTGTATTTTCAGGAGTGAATTTAGTGTTTTATGATTGGTGTTAATCTAAATAATTGGTCAACTGTTGGAAAGTTATCCAAATAATTTTTGGCAAAATGTATTGAGGAAAATAACGTTTATGTGAGGAATTTAGTTGTGTACTTTCCAACTAATATTTCTTAACAAATATAAAGTTGAGTTTTGAAACCTGTAGTCTCAAATTTGTTTCCTGGTAAGGGCTAAGTTTCAGATTTTGATTCAATTAAAAGTTTTAAACCTTTAACCTTTTAAGGCCGGGGCTTTGGTAGCAGTAAAAGCTACCAAAGGACAGGGAATCTTGAACCGAATGCTTTCCCCCCTTTAAGAAATCATCTCCTATTTGCAGCAAAGATTCTTGTGTGTAGTTTAATGGATTCTCAGAGGGGTGCATCTATGTCGCAAAAGGCAGACCTTTGAAAGAGATAAGTGGTTAAAACCCTAGGGACGTCAAATTTGACATTTCACCCCACTTTTCAGGCTGGAAAGTGGGGGGAAAAAGACATGGCCACTAAAGAGGACAACCCCATCTTTTCAAAGAGAGGACTCTATGGCCACTATAATGGCCATTCCGTCTTCAAAAGGTTAAAAGGTACTCTTTTTCTTCTTATTATTGTTTTTTCATGAAATATTTGATGTGTTGTAATTTTGTTTCACAGTTTTTACCAATAGCTTTTAGGTTATATTGAAGATGATTATTTTTATGAAACATTTCAGTACTTTTTTGTTAAAAAGTGACACTGACATAGAATTTATTATATTTAGTAGTAATCTGTGTAGATTTTATTCTAATACTCTTGTTTACGTTGTGTAATGATTCATTATTTGAGCATGATGTACTACTGGCATGTGAAATTATTGTAAAAAATCCTATTACCTCACTTTGTCTAGCACGGCAAAAGTATTAAAGTAAAATAGAGTACGAAGTCTTTAATCCGGACTCGTCGGAACTTCGGCGATTCCGGATTATAGATCATCAATTTAAATCTGGTAAGATGGCATACAGAAGTTATAAAATTAAAAATATGAAACTGTAATTTATGAAATAAAGAGCAATTATAATCTAAAGGGTATCAAAATTTACACAAAAAAAAAAAAAAAAAAAAAAAGCTTAATATTTATTTGTGTATTTCATTAAACATTTCTTTCAATGTAAGTTATTTAAGTTCCTTCTTTTTATGTGCTAATACTTTCTCTTTAATTCTATAAACAGACATAATTTCTTGTTCAGTTACAAAGTTCCACTGTTCAAGTCCTGTAATTGCTGTGCTGAGAATACCGACTAATTTGACAATCAAAAGTTTTTCGTTTTCACTAACCTCTCTGTCACTTTCTTCATGCCTTTATCCATTTTTTGCAGCAATTCTACTTTTTGTTTGATGGACATCGAAACATGCTCTCGCTTTGTAGATCCTTTGGCAGTTCCAGAATCGGAAACTCTTTTTGACATAATCGAAAGTTCAAGCTTACTTTTTATAAAATTGCTCTAACATTCTGCAAAAAATAATAAGCTGGATCCAATTAGAAGATTAAGGAACAACACAATATGCAGCATTAACTGAAATAGATAATTAGATGATTTTAGCTTAGCTTATACCATCCGTTATACATTAAACGCAAATGCATAAACGTATGCATTTATGCATGCACAGGAAGTTTGTAGCTTTGAGGTCCGGATTATAGATCATTCTGGATTATGGACGTCTGGATTAAAGACTTTGTACTGTCTTACAGGTTCTCCTTATCTTTTTCTATTTTCCATTTGTGGATAACCCCCATTTCATGTTTTCAAGCTGGAATGGATAATTAAATATATAAAAAATCATATGGTAAGTACAAAAGAACTGCTTAGCCTTTCCTAAACTTAGAAGTACAAACAATTTTCTTCATTATTCAGTTTTTACATATATTGGGATAATAAGTTATACTGGCGTTTATGTATTAGGATGTACCCTGTAAAAAACATCGTCTTAATATTTTATTTGTACCAAGAATTTTTTATTTTTGTAATAAATGCTTCTTATTTACATTTGATTTTTAATAGAGATCATAAATTATTCCTTTATAACTAAATGTTTTATGTAGAACGATGCAGAGACATAATTACTTGTGCATTATGTACTGTTAGCAACTTCTATATATTTTTAATAAATCACAAATTGAATCATGTTTGGTACTATTCGGTTTCGAGGGCCGTAAAAAAATTGCAGCGAAAATGTATGTGCAAAAGCGCCAAATCTAGCAAATGCGCTGATTTCAGATTGCGTAAGTTTATATAGTTCTATATTTCTTAAGACACCATTGAAATACTAGTTTAATTTTTAAATCCTTTCTTGATAACCTATGGATTTAACAATTTGGGATTTGCCCATGACGAAAAGTCGGCAATAGAATTTTGGGTAAAGTGCAGAATCACCGACTGCTTGACGCGTTTTAAGAATTGCGCAAACTCGATATCCATGTGTACATCCATCTATTTTCACTTAAAAAGAAATCCTAGAATTGCACAAAAATGGCACTGCGCATACCCTTGACTTTATCTATGTACACATCAACCTGTTTTCTTTTAAAAGTAAAAGAAAGTTGACAAAAATCCAATAGTTTTTACCCTTGTAAAAAGCGGCAAACAAATAAGTGAGCAATTCTGCACTTTATCGAGAATATTTTCATAGAAAAGGCATTATTCATTATAGAAAATTATGTTTGAACAACCAACGAGATGAAATTATGCTTTAGCGATAAATCGGTAGCGAAATAGCGATGCAGGCATCCATTCAGTTATGTTATCAATTTTTATATAAATTATAATAATGATCTGAAATAGTTATTTTCTCTTATGCTTTCATTCAGTCATGTTTAGCCTTTTTCATATAAATTATAATAATAAAAATGTATTATATGAAATTAATCTTTCATCTAAATTATTTACTATTATACTTCCTTTCTTGCCGCAATTATTAGTGTTGCTGCAATTACTTTTGGCAGCATTGGCATCAACAATAGTTTGGCGATTTTTTACGGCCCTCGAAACCGAATAGTACCTCATGTTCTTATAATTTCTGAAATTTTTCACTTTAAGCCATTTATATTTTTAGAAGACTTCATAAGTGTTTTACAACGGTATGTAAATCACACTATTAATTTGGACAATGTTGTTCTTCGTCTGGCTGCTGAGCTTTCATGTTATGAGTTAATCAAATTGCTTCTGAAAGTAGGAGCTGATGTTATTTGTACAGACGAAGATGGACAAACAGCCCTACACATTGCTTGTAGTAAAAGATCTTTAGGTAATGTTAAAAATATTTGGATAGTATTTGCAACCTTTTTCTCATTATATTATGAAAAATTTATATGCTAGAATATCAACTAATGATTATATTTTCTTAAGATAGTGATAAATGATATATAGATATCGATGGTTCCAAATGCATTATTATAATATTTACATCTGACGAATGTGAGGTTATAAATTGCTTGTCTTCCTTTAAATTTGCTTGCAGTATATTTGAATTTATTGATTTGTGTATTCATCATAAGAAAATGCTTCTATATGCAAGATCTGTACTGAGAAATCACATAAAGAATTTATCATAAGGTTGCTTCATTTTTAAAGGAAACATCTCTTTATGTGCTCAATTTCTCAACGTCATTTGTGTAATGCATAGCTTTATTCCTAAAATGATTGTTGAGAATTATACTCAGCTATTTGACAGTCTTTGTCCATAAAATAACAGTTCGATACCTTCGAATGCTGACATTGATATTTCTCTTGTAGGTCAACAGAATAATTTGTGATTTCTGATGTAAATGTTGATTTTAATTTTTGAAACTAGGGTTTTGCAAATGAATGCGATTTTTGTAGTGCAAGTGCCATTAAACTAAGAAATTAATTTTGGATTAGTATTGTGGTCAGTGTGTCTGCATGTATGGCTCATTTAATGGTCAATATCATTCATAAAAATATTGAAAGGCGCAAGGCCAACTAAAGGCACTTGGGGGTACAGTAGCATGAATTTTGGGGTGAATCGAAGACAGCAAAATTATCTATCTGTTAGATAGGAATTATAGATTGTAATGATGTAATATGGGCATGATGAATAGATTAACATTCTTATCTAAGCAGCGTTTCCTAAGTGATGATCCCACAACATTTAGTAGCAGCCATGATAAAATACCTACCTAACAACATCTAGAATAGTTTTTCATCCTAAACCGACTACTGGTCACTTCCAGGGCTACGGAATGATTCGCTGTATGTTAAGAATGAACAAGAAAGATTTCAACTTTTTTCATATACAGAAAATAAGAAGTTAAATGTTTACTAAGGAAAATAAATATACTTAAATGGGAAAGGTGAGTTCAAGGTGATCATTTACAGTTCGAAATGATTTACCCTTCTATGAAGGTGGTTATTTTAGAAGGATGAGATTTATACAGTATTTTACGGCGTATAAGATGCACCCTTATTTAGAAGGCCACACACATGTAGATGTAAAAAGTTATGTGTGTCTAAATCTTTATCCGGGCTAAAAATAGCAATTTTTTTCATTATTACACTGAATAGAATCTATTTGTTCTTAACATTCTATTATTATGTTTGTACTTGTTTTTTGTTATATATTTTATATTTAACTCTGATTAGTAATTAATACTGGTCTAATCTGATTAGTAATTAATACTGGTATTATTCATCGTAAAAAAAAAAAAAAAAATTGGCTCTCTACGTATAGAAAGCATTTCCATTCAATTATCTCTGTACTACGACATTTCTCAGGAGTGTGTGCAACTTATCACAGTATAACTGTTCACAATTTATAATAGTAATTCCCTCATAGTCAGCTTCCAGCATGGCTCAAACTACACGTCCTTCGAGCCCAGTGTCCGTCAACTCGGAAAGTATGCTTTTACCACCGGAAAAAAAAAAGCAACAGTACGCCAAGAACCGCATATAAGAGCCGTAAATCTTTATCATGCATGTCTAGATCTAGCCAGTACTAGACGAGGCGGGAAAACGCATCATCCCACCAGGAATGTTCACAAAGCTTAAAAAGATGCTCGATGAGCTCAGAGATATTGCTACAAGTAATGGGATCAGTAACGTAAGCGACGTTCCGTTTCCGATATGTATTCCGCATCCCTCCCACGCCGTCACATGTCAGTGCGATGATTCCACCACAGACTTAATTAATACAGAAAAAATGCCGTCATTATTAGAGGATAATAATGTTCCTAAAATTTCATATGCTGATGCTGTAGCAGAGGTACCAAGAAAAAATAACCCAACTATTTTGCTATACCCAAAGCAAGAGCTAAAATGCCATATTACAGAGAAACTAAATCAGATCATTCCCCTCAAAGAAATAAATGCCAATATTGATTATATAGCAAATATTAAGAATGGAGGCATCGCGATCAGCAGCACTTCAAAGGAAGAACTCAACAAGATTACTAACGCCATAAACGTTTCCGAAGAAGCAAATAACTTAATAGAAATAAAAACACCTACAAGGTTACAAACAAGGGTTAAAAAAACCGAAAATCTCAATCAATAATATCCCGAATACATTACCACCAAAATTAGTTCTCGAAGAACTAGTTGACCAACTAAGGATTGATAAAAAGGAGATTTCACCTCTCTTTTACACAAAAGGCAAAATCCCCAACACCATTAAGTGGGTTCTCGAATGCTCCCCTCGTACTCTATCAAAATGTATTGAACGTAGGAAAATTATAATTAATTGGAGCATTCTCCCAATCGCAGAATTCTACGGAGTGAGGAGATGCTACAGATGCCAAGATTTCTCACATTCTGGTAGTGCATGCAAATTTAGGACTTATTGCGCTTTCTGTGGCGGACCTCACTCCATAAGGAATTGCAAAGAAGACGTACCGGATTGTATCAACTGTAAACTGTTCAACTGCACATATGGAACCTACATCAATACTTCACATGCTGCATTCTCCCCCAAATGCCCATTATATCAGAGGGAAATCTCAAAAATTAAAGCTGCTGCAGTTTACACATCAAAGCAAGAAGAATAGTTAGCTTACTACCTAGTTTCTTTTAAGTTAATTTAAACTTCCCTTTCTGTACATGAATCCATCAAGTACTACCGCCGCCCCTTCAATTCCCCAATCTCAACTGTTTACGACAATTTTACACAATAATTCGCCTCCACAGGACAAGCTTAGAATCCTTCAAATAAACTTAGGCAGAGGAAAAAAGGCGTCAGAACAACTTAGTGAAGTAATTGAAAATAACAATCATGATGTAATTTGCATTACTGAGCCGTATTGCGTAAAAGGTGAAGTTAGATGCCTTCCCCTTCACTGGCAAATATTTCAATCTACCGAAAAGGATCCTCTAGTTAACCCACGTGCCAGTATTATAGTCACCAATACCAAATGGTCCCCTACAATTATATTAAGCCATAGAGATGTGATGACGATAAGTATTAACTGTAAATCAGAACAGCTATTAATTACTTCCATTTACTGCTCACCACGAGAGGATATGGGGCCGAATCTCCACACATTAGAAAATATCTTTAGTAATCTCAGAAGATCACAGCACGTGATTACAGGTGACTTCAATGCTCACCATCAAATGTGGCATTACAATAATACAGATAATAGAGGACATACACTAGCTGACTTTATTGCTACACACAATCTGTATATACATAACCTCTCTTCAGACACTCCTACATTTGAAACAACAAATGGTAAAGGATGGCCGGACTTGACACTGTCAACATTGAGTATCTCCAATAAAATACAAGAATGGAAAGTTCTTGATGATCCAAGCCACTCAGATCATAACTACATCTCATTTGAATTATCAGAAGAAATCCCCGACCTCAAATTAAGAAGATTTTCAATCTCAAAGCAAAAAGCAAGGCAATTTGGAAGAAAAATCTCCACATGTCTTCAGTATGCGGAGAAACTTATAGATAAATGCACATCACCCGATGCAGTCCATGATTTAATGGAAACAATTATCAAAACAATACAGGAGACAGCGACCAACACATTTAAACTCCGTAACAACAACAAGATTACGAAGACTAACTGGTGGACAAAGGAATTAAGACGTGAAAAGCAACATACAAAGGCCCTTCGTAGAAAAATGAAAAGTGCTCCGGAAGGGTTGAAAATGGAAATATGGATAAAATACAAGCAACAATTAGCAAATTACAAAAAGAAAATAACTGAAGCAAAATTACGCAGCTGGAAGAATTACTGCTGTAGTAATAAAGATACATACGGCCAGCTGTATAAAATGGCTACAAGTAAAGTTTTTAGTCCCGCACATATCGGTCTTTCGAGAGATCAACTCTCACGTAACAGCCAGCTTGGTAATGTCACTGAAAAGATTCTCAACAATATTCTAGATGTTGTTTCCTAAAAGATAATGCAGAAGACGATGGCCACTCACATTCCGATATTAGATACAATAATACCGCTCCAAATACTCCAGACGATGTGGAATTCCACTCACAAGAAATTTCAAAAATTATTAAGTATCTTCCGAATAATAAAGCTCCGGGACCTGACGGATTAGACAACAGGATTATTAAGATAATTCACCACGCAATGCCTTTTCTGTTCCACAAACTACTAAACCTCTGCCTCAAATTTTATGTCTTCCCGAATTGTCTCAAACAGGGACAAACAATACTATTCAAGAAAAATAATAAAGATCCTACGGATCCGGAAGCCTTCAGACCAATCAACCTCTTACCTGCAATAGGTAAACTTCTGGAACGTGCAATCGCGGGCAGATTACGCCACCACTTAGAGAAAAACGAAACCATAAGCCCCAACCAATACGGCTTCAGACCTCTCAAATCTACATCACATGCGATAGTAGAACTTCAAGAGCAGATCCGTAGGAATAAATCTTCAGCTCTCCATACAGCAGTACTCTGCATGGATCTCAAAAATGCGTTTGACTCCGTGTGGTGGCCTGGTATCCTTGAAGCCTTGCGCAACATTAAATGCCCTCAGAACATATTCAAGCTAATGAATAGTTTCCTAACAAACAGAACAACGATAATCATCAGCAACAACTGTATAGTAGAAAGAAGAATAACAAGGGGCTGTTTACAGGGCTCTTGTCTAAGTGCAGACCTGTGGAACATCACCTTCAATTATATCACCTCCTACAAGTGGCCGGACCATACAAAGGCCTTTGTAACAAATGGGCATTCAGGAGACATAATTAGAAAAAAATAGTAACGAGACTCCATATTTCATTCCCTCTGCGTCAATCAAAAACTAATAA